CGTTGGGGCACCTTGCAAGAGGGTGTCAGTTTGCCCCACCGCCCTCGTCGCTCCCCCCTCTTCCTGGGAATGCTTTTGTGGCCCCGGTCCCTCAGGGCCAACAGCAGCTCCCTGCACGTGCTGCACTCTGTCAGCCACTACAGGCTCTTCCCCTGCCCGGTTGCAGTGCCCAAGCCTCCCCTTCTCTTCCACCGAATGCCAGGGCCTCCTCCTTTTGCTCTCGTCCCCGGAAGGGGGACCCCCAGGAGCCCCAAGGGGAGCACGCTCTGGAGAGGATCTGGAGGAGAAGGACCTGGCAGACTGCCCTGCCCGAGGCTCACGTCCTGGCACAGGCAGAGCGACGCCACCCAGCGCACCGTCCTCTTCCTGAACCAGCACACAAGCTCAGCGTCCCCCATTGTCTCGGTGTGTGGCCCATGTGCAGGGGGACCGCCCCTCTTTGCTATGGGTCACAAACTTAAGACTCTGTGGATGGACAGACAGGTGGGCTGGCGAGGCCAAGGGGGTTGGTGAAGAGCTGCACTGCTGGGCATGGCTGGGCGGTCGCCCAGTCCTTTGGCACAGAAGGCTGATGCTGGACCGCTGCAGCGGGCAGGAGCGAAGGTCTGCTACCCAGGTCCCCACGGATTCTCCTGCTGCAAAGCATGGCCAGCCAGCAAAAGGGCCCCACTGTGTCCCGGGGAGAGGCTGGCCAGAGTGGGGGCTTGGTGAGCAGCCTGTGCACAAGGCACCGGGAGCGGCCAGCCCTCCTCCTCCGCCTCCGTGCCTCCAAACAGCGAGGGAGGTTGCATGTGCGCCGCTCTTCAGCCACTTTGCGAGATGCTTGGCCCAGAGCGAGGCCTCTGCTGCTCTCGTTTGCACCTGCCTCCCCCCGATGCCCACCTGGCAGCCTCACAGGCAGGAGCAAAGGGCCTGGCTGGCCGTCTCTGCAATCTCCACAGGTGACCAAGACAGGGACCACAGCCTGGAGGGATTGGTGGGTGCCTCTGCCCTTGCCGCCTGGCAGGAGCAGCCCAGGGCAGTCCAGCCCCTCCTCTCCCCAGGTGTCCCCCAGGAGCAGCAGGAGCAGGGCTGGCAGACCTGCTTGGCACGCTGCCCGACTTCCGGACCACTCGTCCGGGAGCCTGAAGGTGTGGTCAGTGGCCGCAATCCCTCCAGGCCACCTGTCTGTGGCTGCCCCTCCCCGCTTGGGCGGGCTGTCCAACCCGTCTGCCTTCTTCCCCTACACAACCAAGAGCCCAGCTGGCCCCTCTGCTCTCGTCACCATTGGCCTGAAGAAGTCGAGTGAGCCCCGCATGGTGGAAATGGCCCACAGGTCATGTTGGCACTTGGAAGATTACATTTTCTTTGTTCCTCCCTGGAAGGAAGGAAGTGAAATGGCCCCTTGGTAAGAGAGAGCCTCCGGGAGGGGGTAGGCACAGGACCCTGGCTGCGGTTATGCCCTTTGTGGTCTCTGCCACAGAAGTGAACCTGCTGTGGGTCTGGAGCAGCCTTTAAAGTGCAGGCCGTACGGCCTCAGGCAAACCCAGGTGCCCCCTTTGAACGTGCTCAGGGTTTGGGCATACTGCTGGCACCTTCCTTCAGGCCCTGAGCAGCAAAGCCTCCCCGGGGAGGAGGCGGCGGCCAGCCGGCCGGCCGCCTCTCTCCCTGCTGGAGCTCTGAGTCCTTCCAGGTGCGCCATTCAGGGAGAGCGAGCTTGTCCGGAAGCCCTGGTGGGAAGCAAGCGGCCCTCAAACAGCCTCATCCCCTGGGGTGTGGGATCTCCGCAGGCCTCCCGCACGCAGCAGCAGGCCCAGGGCAGTTGGCGGCTTTGCGAAGCTCCACTCAGCCTTTGCGGCAACCGCAGTCCAGCGGCAGAGCGCTTGTTTTGCACGCTCCGGATTCGGCTGACTTGGGGTGGGGGGCTCTCTTCCGCCTGAAGCCCGGAGGGCCCTTAAAGAGCAGAGAGACCAGGAAGAAGCAGCATGGGGTCCCTGCTCAGGCCAGAGGTTCCCAGCAGCTCTGCAACTCCTCAGTTTAGGTTTCTTCCTGCAATCATGTCTCCCTCCTCCAGCGGCGGAGATGGGGCAGGGATCAGAAAGAAAGGAAAGGAAAAACCTCGTTCCGCCCACCTTTATTTATTTTCTGCCGGCCTCGACTCCAACAGATTTGCCCAAGGGAACGTTGTCCTTGAGAAAGCTTGGCTCCCAGGGCCAAGAGACTGCTGGGTGTAAGGCAGCTTCCTTCACGGTCCTGTTGGGGAGGCACCAGGGGTTGGAATTGCAGGGAGGGGTGGATTAAGCGGAGGACATGGGCTTCTCTGGTTAAATGTATGGCTTGGAAGAGACAGGTGTGTGCTTGTGCATAGGTGTGCATAAAAACAAGTCCATAAGTTTCACCTACAAAACAAAAATCAAATGCATGGATATAGGATTTATTTATTTATACTTTATAGGGCCACCCAATTCGCGGTGGCTCTGGGCAGCTTACAAATTAAAAATAGGGCCTCAGTACGTTGAGCCCAACTAGCTAAATAAATAAATGTTGTGACCAGCGGAAATAAACATAGGCGACACACAGCAAACATGGTCCAGTCCAGATGCGCACCCACCCTGACCTCAACCCATTGCCTGTCTTCGAGGCTCATCTAAAGGACAGCAGAGCTGGGGCTGGCAAACCTCGGGGAGGGCAGTGGGAACATACAATCACAGAGGGCCAGTGCTGCGGCAGAGAAGGATGGGGGCTTCTTGGACTGGTGGTGGGATGGGAGCTGATTGCAGACCGAATATGAACCAGCCGTGTGATGCATTGGCAAAGGAGGCAAACACAGTTGCAGCCGCCAATGGCTGCATCCACAGAAGTAACATTTCCCAGTCATGGAAAATATTCAGTCCACTCCATTTTGCATTGGTCAGATCCCATTTAAAGTGGACGCCACACTTTAAGAAGGATTCAGAGCAACTGGAACAGGTCCAAAGAAGGTCAGTGGTGATAGTCAGGGGGTACAAATGAAGCCTTACGGAGAGAAATGGAAGGAGCTGGGCACATTTAGCCTGGAGCAGAGTCGTAGTTCAGACCTGGTGTCTCTTGCTCCGGCAGGCAGGATGTGGAATTGCAGGAGGGCCGAACGCTCTCTCAAGGAAAGAGCTGTCTTACCCTTACCCCAGAGAGGCAGGTGGGCTCTCCTCCACTGGGTCCACCTGAGCTCTGTCGGGGACGCTTCAGTCTGGATTCGTGCCCTGAGCTAGGGATTGGACTAAGTGACCTCGGTGTCCTTTTCCACGGTCCGTGGAAGGTATGATTCTAGGAGCAGATCAACAGTGGAACCGACAATGGGCACTTTCTAGCAGAGGCCGGGCCCCCATCCGCTGCAGATGCTTGAGCTGGGATTCCTCCACTGAGAGGGGGTTGCACTCCACGGCCTTGAGCCCCTCCCGATGCTCAGGGGCTCCGATTCTGTGCTAAGATCACGAAGCGTCAGCTGGAAGGCCCCGTTACAGGACCCAAGATCAGGAGATGGGAATGCCTTAACCTCCTGAGGAGCCAAGGGACCCTTGAACCAGCCAGAGTGGGTCCCTCCACAGAGCCCATCACAGCAGGCTGGAGAAGGATGAAGCCCCCCGCTGCTCTCTGCATCATCCCCTCTTCAGCTTTATTAACCACGTGGCACCCAGCCAGCGCCCCAGTCAGGCCTGCAGGGCACTTGGCGGCTGCTTCGTATACCCCTGGGAGGAGGCATGAGATTGGGCTTGGGGAAAGGCTGCCCAGAGGGAGGGAGTGCAAGAGGCAGCTGGGGCAGGGGGGAGAGGAGAAGAGCACGGGTTGGGTGCGAGGCCGCCTAGGTGCCTCGAGGTTGCAGACCCCGCTGCCCCAGAGGCGCTCCTGGCATTCCGGCAAGCAGGGAGGACCTTCCTCTTTAGGCAGGCACCCGACACCTCATCTGGGCAGGACCAGCCAGCTGCGCCAGCTGCGCCAGCTGCGCCTGTTACGCCCGGCTCCTGCTCGGATGCTGCGGCTGGCTAGGCGAAATGGGGTAGAAACCCTGGGGCCTCCGCCCTTGTGAGTAGGGCAAGGTTGGCAGGCTTTGAGGATCTGAGGTGGGAATCCGGCCGCATTAGCGGAGCTTGTTCCCCCCAGCTGCACCCCCCAGTGCCTCCCCTCCCCTACGCTGGGTAGGGGAGACGCCGGGCATGGTCCGTGTCTGACTGGGACCCAATTGGCCCCAACGCTGGGGTGGGAGGGGAGCTTTCAGCCAGCCCACTCTGGAGGAACCTGGAGGGAGGGGAGGGTGGCTTCCTTGCTGCCCCCTCCCCCTCCCCCTCCCCCTCCCCCTCCCCCTCCCCCTCCCCCTCCCCCTCCCCCTCCCCCTCCCCCTCCCCCTCCCCCTCCCCCTCCCCCTCCCCCTCCCCCTCCCCCTCCCCCTCCCCCTCCCCCTCCCCCTCCCCCTCCCCCTCCCCCTCCCCCGCACAGCCCGGCGGGCCAGGAGCGATCTTCCCTCCGTGGTCAAAGCTCTCCGTCCGCGGGGAGCTCCCCGACCCTCCCATTCTGCTGCCCAGCCAACCTCTGCTGCCAGCTGTGTTCTGGTGCTCCGCAGCTGCGGGGCAGGGAGCAGACCGAGGCAGGCGGGGGGA